CGTTTCAAAATATTCATGTATCAGTAATGTAATAATGTGTAGCACTTAATGTTACATTATATTTTACGCAAAACGGTATACGAGATAGTCTGTTATTGGTGGTACATCCGACGGGAATGTGATTCTTCATTACAATATTATGTTTTTATTGAAAATGACTGAAAATTTGTTGGTGAAATGTACTGCTAAGTACGAGGACTCAACTGTTTTGTCTGTCCATTACTTGCTGCTTGTACTTATTGTAGGCACGAATGCATGCGTATGTAATAAATTTTTTACAGCTATCACACTGAAAATGGTGTTTTACAAAAAGGATCGTCTTCAATATCAAATAAAACTGGTGATTACAGTTTTGAAGGAAGAGTAAAATTATATATTACAGTAGACTCTCTTTTATTCATTTCCGCTTTGACCGGTCATACTTGCAATGAGAGGTGCAGCAAGGAAATAATTTATACCCTATTCGGATTTTTAAATTAAGTACATACAAAATTAATAGACATTGAAATTAAGTACATACAAAATTTACTAGATCCTTCGTATACAGGGTGAGTCATTTAAATTTATCTCGATTACCTTCGAAACAGTTGATAATACCGACAAATTCTCGAAGTAAAGACGATTGGTTTGTGGGGGGGATAATTTGATATGAGTAGTTGTTTGTAGATGGATGCGTAGAGGACATATGAAGGTGAAATTTGTTTGCTAAATAGAATCAGATATTTTTTAACGCATTAGTCGATGCAGCTCATTTCTTATAAAAAAGGTATGAAGCTATTTATGCCGAATAACCATTAATTTAGGAGACATTTGATTTTAAAATTGCGAAGCGATACTAAAAATACGATATTAACTTTCTTCAAGTTGATGTTCAAAACTACGTCGCCCAATATGAATGCAGAAATTTACTCGATTTATAAATGACCTATCAACACTTTCTACAATTTCTTTTGAAATTTATTTTGTCGTCTGGTGGATCGTTTATTTCAGGTCGTTCGAAGTAGTACATACATCTCCATAAGCTTTGTTTTTTTTTTAAATATTGCCACGAAATCCACCTCGGCCAATCCAACAATTGAGGAACGTTTCATTTAATGTAGCTCGAACTACAAGGTGACAGTGAACAGGCGCACCGTTGCACAGTGAGGTATTTGACCCGAAAAGCTGGCCAAAATCCCAATTTCATTTTTGTTCAAAATGAATGAAACTTTTACTGTTTGGATTTTAAGTACCTTACCTAAAAGTAAGGTTTAGTGAAATATTTCCATTACAGTGGATTCTTATGATATTGACACGGTCGGGACTATAAGAAAGCTCCAGCGCCTACGTAAGAGTTGGATCGCGCTGGTGGTAACGGCGTATTTAAAGCGGCGTACTCACTAAGCGAGCATTCGTTCCACACTGAAACGAATTCATTTCTGTTCACAATTGATCCCAAAACTGACCACGGGCAGCTTGTGAAATAATGAATAGGAAGAAATTAGTTTGTGCAAGTTAAGTGCAAAAAATAAAAACAAAGAAAACAGGATAAACGATGGTGGCAAACTTTCAGTGTTTAAAAACAGACAACGGTATAGTGGAAGCCATTTGTTAAGGGACTTGCAGGAAGAAGAAGGATATGAAATGTTCCGAAATTTCTGCAGAATATCGACCGAAGATTTTGAAAAATTGCTACATGTTGAACCAAAAATAATGCATAGTGACACAATGTATAGGAAATATATTCTACGATTCTTGGCTACAGTAAGCCTCTATTATTTTAATAATGTTCCTGTTACACCATTCCATTTTTAGTTTGATACGGAAGAGAACATTCCCGGGAAGAGCAGTCGAATGCAACAAATGACCGTCTTTTGATGTAGCGACACGAGTCGGATCATTCAGCGAACGCTCAATGGTACATACCAAACGAGCACTGGGGGGTAAGCGAATTTGTGTGCATGAAAGTACGTGTGCAGGGGAAATGCTTCGCGCGGTAATAGGCCAAGTTGCAATATCGTCAGAGTTCACTGTATTTAGTAAATTTGCCTAGATTGGATCAAAAGTAGTTGCTTAGATTGGAATCTACATAGTTGTAAGTGGTTTTGTACTTTTTGTGTAGAAACCAAGCAAGAAGATATACAGTACAAAAAATATTGCATTTGGGTTCATACACTGTGTCGGGGTAAGTGTAGAAGTCCAAAAATACTATTGCTTAAATTATTAACCTTTCTACTCATAATTGCAATATGTATTGAGAAAACAATATTGGAGCAATGGTTCTTTATTATCAGACTTGGCAAATTATGCTGATGTCTACGTAATAATTTCTTTTATGGTTGTTCTTACGAAAACTGAATAGTTTTTACACTTTAATCGAATGGTCCAACTTAGAAAACCAGAGGTCTATCCTATGAACCGGTTTGCTATGATTGTACTGATGCGATAATTATAAAAAATTACATGTATATTTTTTTATATTATATCTAGGGCAAAATGAATTATATTATCTTGAAAACAAAAGTAGTGACATTCTTTTCCGTTATGTCCCAAAAATTAAAAATATTTCATTATCAGCCTAGAATAAAAAATATTTTAGTGATCCTAATTCGGCAACCTTCCCCTACTTGTGTATGAGGCCTTGTTCCAAGCCTAAAAAAAATGAAAATAAATGATCATACATTTGCTCACAGGACGATCAGTTGTCACGTTCGTACTGTTTGCTTTTCAAAGGCTGAAAGACGACGTTATTGTCTTGCTTCTGACAAAGAAATGTCTCACATTAACAATGCCGACTGCAAGAGTTCAGTTAGTTCTGAGAGATACCTGCAAAGTAGCTGTCTGTTCCAGCATACCCACCCAGTATATGAGAGGTTGCCATTACGTTTGGCAGCGTAAAATACGCAAGATTTTTTTGACTGGACGTTACCATGAACATGCATACCATTTCGTCCAGGTGAAAGCTGATCGTGGAGTCGTAATAACTTTACCGGAAACCTGTGCGCCGAACTTGTACTCCGAAGCAAGTCGTAGTACTCGATGTTGGCGTGGTCGTCGCTTTTACACCAGTTGGGCTTTTACATAATGCGTAATTAACGGTTATGCTGGATGTGCACCGCGTGTTGTAATGCGTTGGAAGCGGGAGTTGCGTTACCGTTGCGATTTCAAGCCAAGAGTTTGCTCGACCGCGTGACGCCACGCCGACTGCCGTTTCGGACAGCGATGTCGAGACTTAGAATAATTGTTCTGTGGTAAAAAGTAGAAGTAAACTAGCAGAACTGTCGATGGGTAAACACAGTGGGAAACTTTGCGTCCGTTCTGGTACTTGCGCAATTTAAAATACCTTTTCCAACGTGCTAGTTGGCGTTCCTTTGCAATAAGAAGAAATCGTACGAAGCCAGAAGATAGACATTGATTACGTTTATGTTTTGGATAAAAATATGTTAACATTATAGAAATCTAATAGATATTTATAACTTTTGCATTTTCTGATGATGTAGAAACGTTTTTAATTATTTATTAAGAAGTAGAAGCGGTATGACTTAACTCTTCATCGGAAGAGAAATTATGTAATAACGGCTCAATTTTTCTTCTTTTGAACATTGAACGAACTCGTTTTAAGCCGCTCTATTATTCTACGGAACAGAAGCATACCGATCCATTTAAAAGAATGGGTGATCTCGAAATATCCAAAGTACCTCCACCTGCAAAAAAACTATTAGCACTATCGGATGGCTCTCTTCGTACTGCGCAATTCTGGTTAAACAAATATTTCTGTGAACCTTATAGTTTCGAAGATATCTGAGGTGGTAATAGTTATTGCCCCACCCTGTATATTGTATAAAACAAAATCGAACAAAAACTAGAAACTACTCGCTTGATTTAATAATGGAAAAAATGCTCTGATGCTTTCACGATGCAGTCACAAATGATACTGTTTCAACAAAATGCAGACAGAAAGATAGAATGCTTATCTGTAGCATAGGACCAACGTTTCACGATTGTATAATCTAAACGTCTATATCTAATCTCAGCGATGTGTCTCCGCGGCAACACTACGCGATGATCGGTAGCGGGTTTCGAATCTCAGAAGGAAACTGTTAGGAGGTCAATCGCCAGATTTGGTAATGCGTGTATATTGTCTGCACGTATGCGAGAGTGCGATATTTTGAATTACAGCTGATCGGAAAATCGCGAAAGACAGTAGGCCAATAGCCCCGCGAAAAAAGAAATGAAACAAGGCCGGAGAATCTCGAAAAACCGCGTTCGTAAGAGAAATTTACATTGTAAAGAACGAAAAACAGTGATAGAGAGACATATAGAAAATCATGGTTATTAATTTCCACTGTATCTTTTGTTCTTTTTCCTAGGTTTTATTTTCATACATTTTGATATCTTTTTCACAAAAGTTGAGCCTTTTTTGTTTGCAACCACTCATCATATCATACAATAATAATTTATGAAGTGGGACGAAGTTGGAAATGACTCTTCCGTAATTATGTAGAGAAACGTATACTAGAGATATTCAAAGTTATAAAAATACAGAAGTATTTGGAATTCAAAAGATATTCTTTGTTAAAGACAGATAATTTTGACAACTCCCTTTAGTCCATTGAAAATTACTTTTTTAATAAATTGCGAACGGTAATTCTAAATTAAAGGTGTGCGTTTGTAATGTAAAGGAATACCTTTTATTTAGAAATAAAAATGAACAGAAAATATTAAATAGATTCGGCAGGATATCACGAAAGAAAAAAACATATTTTCGGGTTTAGAATGGGATTTACAAAATGTTCATATTTAAATGTTTGTTCTAAATTCATTTTTTATTCAATTTCATGAATATCGTCATTTTCAAAATTCATAAACATTTAGAAAGCAATATAAATACATTAAAGACCAATATGTGAAAATTGAGTTTTATTAAAAGAACAGCTAGTTCTTCGATCTGGACCACTGAACGCAGGGAGACGCGGCTTTACAACGTTCGATACTTAATTCCTGTCCTTCTTCTGTTACAGAGGTTTCAGCGTCAGCGTTTGCAGTCGACAGCATATTTTCAAGCCAGTATCCGTGCAAGCTATGTGGTAAGTCAAGTTTTTGAACAGGTTTTTATAAAAAATGATCAAGTTTTTAAAATTTTTGCAAGCGCGCTTCGTGTAAATCAGTGGGTACTTTTTCGAATGACAGCGAATGACACTGACAATGAGTGAATCACATTTTACCAGGGAAATAAATGTACGCATGTTACAGTTTCATCACTGTCAGTATTGAACATTTCATGTCGAATTCTATGACATATTTGAATGTACTGTTTAAACAATAATAATTTCTTGAATAACTGTATGAATATTGGTAGTAATGTCATTGTTTCTTGTCTCGCGAATCACACGTAAGGAGTAAAAGATGCTAACCAAGCTAGACATTTGCCACTGAAATAAGTGACAAATTATTAATTTTTTCACATAATATCTTCATACTCTATGACGCAGACTGTTTAGAAGAATCAATTTATGTAATAAATAAAGTATTTTTATCCCATTGTATTTCAATATCATTAGTACAAAAACATAATTAACTTTAAAAATTCAGAATATCCTCCACGTATGAAAAAATGATTACTGCTAAGTAACAGCCCTCTCCATAGTAAACAACTTCTGCGAATAAATTTTTCTGATATCTCTGAAAATAACGGAAATAATTAATATAACTGTAAAGTGCGTATAACCAGCCCACCCTATATGTAGCTGCGTCACACAACTGAACAGCCTAGTGGTGGGGAAAGCACTCAGCTAACTGGTCACCGATTTTTGCACGGTTCCTGGAAATTTAGCCCTTTACAGCCCCGACTCGTGCGGGAATCGAATGTCTACTGTACCAGGTTAAGGAGGCCAAAATTGTAGAAGGACTTGAAATGAGACAAGGGTTTATGAACAAAACTATCTGTTTATTACACACTAAAGATATAGAGCTGAGCGCTCGAACGCTCGTGCGTAGTAATGAAAATCCGCGAATGGCGTAGTTCTGCCCGACACATCAGCGCGCCAAAATATAAACAAAAAATTCGCACCCTTTTCTTTCTTACTTATTACCTTGACAAAAATGTCTTTAGCAGATTTGGACTTGTGGTATACCATTTGATAGCTTGTCAAGAAAAAATAGTCAGTGCCAAGTTTCAACGGGTTAAAAAGGTAAAAATAACCAAGTACTTACGGATGGTGATGTATATTGTCAACTCGTACCGTAACATTCTAAAATCGAAATATTATTTTGGAATCATTTATGATGAACCATTATTGTCGAGTTATAAGACAAAGAAGTTGCTTGTACGTATAATATTTTGTAACACTACTGACGTAAGTTTGCGTATAAACGGTGGTATGTAGTGAAACATTTTTTAAATTCGTTTTGTAGACCTGTTTCAAGATAGTGTAATAATGCTAGAGTATTTAAAAGTAATTGTTCCAGAAAAGAAAGCAAATAATCTGTAGCCCAAAAAACACAATTCGCTGTGTTATGTAGAAAAGTCAATTGTCACCCGGGACATACTTAATGTATAAAAGAAAGTCGGATCGCCTTCGCGATATTATCGGTGCCGGAGAGATCTAACAAAATAAAAGAAAAGATACAGCGGGGGCGGGCCGTGGTTTAATTGGTTGGCATCGCAATTGGCTTATACCCGGCTGGATGACGAGGAACTTTCTTGCCTGCCCAACCTCTTCCGCTCGTGAATTTTTGAGCGCGGGTGAAACCATGTCCTGTTCTTCCCACATGACTACATTCTAGTAATTGTATTCAATGATCTCTTTTGTTCTTACGGTTTCTGACTAATCAAACTTACTTTCGGATGTCGACGTCAAGTCTAACGTTGAAAATTCTTGTGTCTAGGTATGTTAATTGTATTATCCAAAGTGATCTGAAACACAATTGGTGACTTCATATCTTCGCAATCCTTCTCGAAAGAAGTAGAACACAATACATCTGAATTAGTTGGTTGCAACATGTGAAAGAACATACAGTGCGATCAATAATTGTAACCGCTAAACATCAGATTTTGTGAATGTACAGTACAAACATTTATCTAAATCAGAGTTCGACGTGGTTTTTTTTCTGTTAGATTCCGATGCATCCACAATCTAGTAATAATAGCGCTACCAGCGAGGTACAATAAGCTCCACGGGAAACCTACTTTAGGGTTTTAGACCAGTCGAATTAGACTTTGAACAAAAAATAATTTTAATTAGCTATGTTTTTGCGCGAAATGGTTCGGAAAGTCATTACAAGTGAAATGTATAAGTTTGAGACTCGTGAATTGTTGGGGAACATTGTTAGAAAGTAATGATTTTGGAAAAAAAAGTTCAAACAGAAAATGTAGGCAGGTATTAGAAGTACTACAAAATGAGACATAGTAGGTACGTTAAAGTCAGTCCACGTGTTAAGTTGCAAAAGAATGAAAACTGATAGAATAGGCTCTTTTTTCAATTATTTAATACTCGAAGAGTATTCTTGTCAAGAAAAAATAGTCAGTGCCAAGTTTCAACGGTTTAAAAACATAAAAATGACCAGACAAGAATCCATAGAGGTTTGAAATTTTAATACTATTGCTGGTACTATTAATGACAATATCATTTCAAATTCACTAGCTGACATTCGACACAAGCTTCTGAAGCCACTTCGATCCTCCATCCTTAAATCTGCCAAGAATTCCGTGACACTATATTTTTGGCGATTTTGAAACACTTTTCTCTGCCACCAACATCGTTTATGATTTTTCTTTTGAGTAAGCAGATGAATAACCATAAAACCAGCACAACCTAACACCTGTTCCTGCGTACTCATAATTTCTTACAAGTTTTAGATTAATCTTGTCAACACTTTTTTTTTTAATTTTGAATTTCCATAAATAGCAAATGGACAACGAATACAGACAACGAACTGATTACTTCCAAGAAACTGACAGACTTGTGCAACAGAATATTTATAAGTGTTCGGGACTGTTCACGAACTGTACGCAAACTGTGCGCAACATGTTAAATCACGTACTCACCAAGCGAATGCTCGCTCGTGTTCGCAAGAGCTTGCAAGGGCTCGCTCGTGTTCAACTGAAATGCTCGCCCTACGTCCACACTGGAACGAATTCATTTCTGTTCGCAATTGATCCCAAGACTGACCACGGGGAGATTGTAAAATAATGAATAGGAAGAAATTAGTTCGTGCAAGTGCTGCTTTTATTGTGCTGAAGTTATGTGGAAAAAAGTAAAACAAAGAAAACAAGATAAACGATGGTGGAAAACTTCAGTGTTTAACACTAGGTTTACGAGCATTTATCGTGTACGTATCTCCACGGCACGCGTCAACGAACCCGCAGATTTTCTTTAAAAAACAACTTATTTTATATAGTACACAATTTATGATCTCTGCAATTAATGCATAGCTATAGAGATAGGTATACCACATAGAGAATTTCGAGGTTAGAAAGCATTCGAAATGCGTCAAAATGACGCGTCCCGTAAACCTAGTGTTAACAACAGACAACGGTATAGTGGAAGCCTTTTACGAAGGGACTTGCAGGAAGAATAAGGATATGAAATGTTCCGAAATTTGTGCAGAATATCGACCGAAGATTTTGAAAAATACACGACAGCTCCGTCACTGCGTGCGTGCCGCTCTCGAGATCGTGTGTCCCCACTCCTGACTCTATTACTGTGTGCATGTCGTTCTCGCGAACGCGTGACCCAGGGACCGTGCTCGGAGGGTTAAAGCGGCGTACTCACTAAGCGAGCATTCGTTCCACACTGAAACAAATTTATTTCTGTTCATAATTGATCCCAAGACTGACCACAGGCAGATTGTGAACTAATAAATAGGAAGAAATTAGTTTGTGCAAGTGCTGCTTTTATTGTGCTGAAGTGAAGAAGGATGTGAAATGTTCCGAAATTTCTGCAGAATATCGACCGAAGATTTTGAAAAATTGCTACATGTTGAACCAAAAATAATTCAATCTATAGGAAATATATTCTACGATTCTTGGCTACAGTAAGCCTCTATGAGTTTAATAATGTTTCTATTACACCATCCCATTTTTAGTTTGACACGGAAGCGAACATTCCCGGGAAGAGCAGTAGAATGCAACAAATGACCGTCTACATCAGACGAACGCGAACACGTCTTTCTTTTGATGTAGCGACACGAGTCGTATCATTCAACGGAACACACCCAACGAGCTTTTGTTCGCTCGTGTTCACTCGCTTGGTGAGTACGCGGCTTTACGAACAGTGTTCGCGAAAAGATCGAGTAGTGGTTATAAAATGTTCGTGAACTGTTCGCTGATGAGTACGCACCTTTACTGTTTATTCACAGATAAGCGAGTTTTTAATATTTCTTGTCTGCCTCGAGCGTCATTGCCTGCAAAATATGTACCAAATTTGATAAGTTTTAAAAATTTTTTTTTTTATGTTAATTGTTCTGAAACGGACTCGAGTTTTGAAATCTCGTCCAGTTCTGTAATGCAATAAAACGCCCGAGTCATAATGTTTTTTTCTAAATATCGGAGCTTTTGATGAGTTTAGAGTATAAATGTCAATTAAACGATTTATCAAAAACTAATCGATACCTGCGACGCGTTCATCGTGACTTGTGAAAGAGGCGACAAGGATCGTACAACACCGAGTACTCCGTCAGACTATCGTCGTTAACGTTGTCATCCTATTTTTGGAAAAGCTTCGGTGGACTCGATCGTCAGTGTGGTGGGGTTGCTTGCGACCATGGACCATCGCTCGCGCCATTTATGGGCGCGTCGCGATGGATGGTCACTTTGCCGAATTCTACTATGCGACCTTGACAATTCCTGTTGAGGGGTTAGAAGGTATAATAATTTATAGTAAATGTTCGTCCACAATCCTTTAATAATACGATATGAATGTTACACAACTGAAACCGCACGATACATAAGTTCTATATCTTATAATGAAATGCGGATAAAAGATCTACAAGAAGTTGTGCGTTGACGCGGAACGAAGTGTCCGCTTCCGTGAGTACTTCAAGAATGCCCTCCAAGACCGAGAACCTTGAGGACAAAACGTAGAAA